CTAGGAGTTACAGAAGATCTTATTTTTAAAACCAGCCATTTACACTAGATGTTCTGGGGAAGGCATGTAGGGTTTATTTTCCTGAAAAGTTCTGGGTTAGAAGTCTTAGAGGAATAAATATTTTACATTTTCCCATGGAAATAATGGATCTTAAAGAAAGGGAAAATCTGGTCATTCTGAAAAGTTGTAAGGTTATAATTTGAGATTTGGTGTTTTAAAGTGTCCCTATGGAAGTACTAGTCTTACTCAACCTTAATCCTAGTAAATTCTGGGGTTACAAATCATCAGTAGACCTGATGTTAAAATTGACGATTTTTGGAAAAGTTTTCGAATGACTGGTGTAGGTGGTGTTGATGCACAATGTGCTGTTGTGTGGAGGTGCTAGTCACCAGTAGAAGACTGGGCTTCATTTAAGGCCATTCACCCAAGGCCACCTTCCCTGCGTGCTGTCCAAGTGGACCCAGGGGGGCTGAATACTTACCACTCCCCCAAGTGACCTTTTGTTAACACCGCAAGGTTGCCCAGGCCACCCGAGAAGAGTCTGAAGATGTTTCTCTATGAGACTTACTCTGGCTAATCCAGAGACCAGGCTCCCCAGGACCCTAGATATCTCCAGGGAACAGGAGAGCCCTTGCCCAAATCAGCTAGGAGTCAGGAGTTAAAGTTGGCCATGAACTGGTCATTGCCTTATCCTCACTCCCTGCTGATTTGCTCCAGAATACTTACAGTCAACATCCAAGGAATACCATGAACTCAAGATGATCAAAGAGCTCGCCCAAATGTGACTAGAAATATTCAAAGAGATATTCCTGACCTCCCACTATTTACTAGAAATGAAAAAATGTAAGAGGCCAGGTCGAGGTTCAGTCTGGCGGATATATCTCTGTAGATATATCATTCTTCTACCAGACGTCTCCCCTAAGGCAATGCAAGAACCAAGCAGACATTATCCTTATCAGGGATAACCGTTGGGAGCATTACCCTGAAGAACTGGAGACCCTGGCCTATTGACTAGGTTTTGAGACACAGCATTTCGGCAATGGTGATGACCAATTGTTTGTTTGTGTTTTTCTTTGTTCTTGTTTGTATATTTTTATTCAGAATTTGATTATCTGATGTCTAGGTTGTTTTCCCATACTTTGATTATCATATTTAAGCTTATGAAGCCCTTTAAAATCGTGTTTTATTAGAGAATAGACCATATGCAAATGACTCATTAGTATTCGTGTTTTTAGACCAATCCTGTGTGTCCTCAGCTGAGTGTGCTTTCAGTCAGGTTTAGTCCTTTATATCTCAGCCGTTTTTTAATGTTTTGGTTTACTTTTTTCGGCATTTTAATCAGTATATTGTGTAGAATAAGTGTAGAGCAAATAAACTGTCATTACTGATCAAAAATATTTCTGTGAGGTTACCGTTTATGAGGAGTACAGCTGATTTAGTGTGGTAATTCACAATCTGTGAATACAGATTAATGACTACTTTCTGGCAAACTGATTCATGCAGTTTATTGAAGCTGATAATGCTGAAGTGGTCATGTCAATGATATAACACATACACATCTTAGATGTGTGTTTTGATTAACAGTGTACAAACAGTGTACATAATAAAATAGAGAAATAGAAAATACAGAAACAGTCCAGCAGTGAAAACTTAAGATCAGCATGGCAAGATGTGAACACAATGGCTGGGAGTAAAGAAGATAAAGGGGGCATTGAAACCAATTTAAATGGTTTTAGTTCTGTGAGAGAGTTTGCTGAGGAATTAAATACGTTTTACTTAAGGTTTGATGAGGGTGATTTTAAGTCAGAAAATGACATTTTAGAACAACACCTGTCATGTAGTAAATCCGTAAACATTAGTAGGACTCAGGTCAAAGACCTCGTTCAGAGAATTAATACTAAAAAAAAGCCCGGGCCCAGATAATATTGGTGGTAGGGTGCTGCATACATGTGCTGAACAACTTTTTGAAATATTTCATTGCATTTTTTCAGTCTCTTATATGTTGCAAATACTCTCAGTTCATCGTGGACTTGAACACAGACACTTATCCTCCACAATGGCGGCACACAATGGTGTTTGTTTGTTTGTTTAGTTTTTTTTTTCTTCTTGATTTTGCAGGACAAGACCGGCAGCTGTGGTTGCCAGTAAGCAGATTCACTAAAGGAAAGAAAAACACAAGTTACAGCCAAAACCAAAGATGACATCAACTGAAAATTAAACTCTAGATAAAAATAATAGTACTAAATATTTAGACAATATAAATGTTCTTTCTGAAGATCTCAGCAGAGATCATTAAACAACTTAAGTGAGTGGAGCTTCACTCATTACTGAGCTCGGACTTTTCTTTCATGTGGACAAAAGTCTTCATGGAGTTGCTGTTGTTCAGTTGGTCACCATGATGGAGGTCAGCGTCTGCTTTAGTTGGCTTCTTCAGCTGCTTTTGTTAACACTAGATTTATTTAGGTAGCCATAAATAGGTGTGTTGATCCCACAATTTGTATGGCATGAGAAGCCTAAAGGAAATTTAAGAATAAATGTAATGAGGTTATTCATTTCACCTTTATTTGTATAGTGCTTTTACAATGTAGATTGGGTCAAAGCTTCACATAAAAGATCATCTTATCAAGAATCAGCCTTTCAATTACAACAATGGTGACAAACAAAAGAAAATTAACCCAGAACAACACAAAACACTCTACTGAAATATAACAGCCAAGAACAGCACACAATAAAGGCAAAGAAAGACATTTCAAAAACTTTAAGCGGCTTATCTTATTTATGCTGCAATGCATGCTGGGAGTTTTGTATTATGTACCCAGCATGCATTGTGGCATGGATGAATCATGCAGCTTTTTAATTTTAGTAACCGTGGTTGAGGTTCATATCTTGATTCTTGATGTCTTTGTGTCTTAAAGGGTCATGACCTCCCCTCACTTTTGGTTAAAGTCTACTTCAGATTTTTTTCAAAAGATGCATGATTAATGGGCGGAGCTCTGTGAGCACAGGGCAGGAGTGGGCGTGGCCAGCAGGGGAGAAGGGGAGCGAACGACTGTTGTTGACAGTTAGCTCACAAAATGAGACACAAACCGTGAGAAGACGCATGAGTTTATAGTTCTTAAAGTTAAAATGCAAAGGAATAAACAGTAATTTAATGCCCTGCTTGCTACATTTGTTATTTGTAATTTCATATACACATAACCACAATTTATATCATTATAAAGATAAGTGTGTTCATGTAAACCCTATAAATGAGGATTCTCCCTCGATCCCCGGGTCTAAATTATAGATCTGAATGCAGACTCAGTGCAGCAGGTCTCCTGACCTGTCTATTTTAACCATTAGCCCTGCTGGTAATATAGAGGATTTAGGCAAACACAGCAGCACGGCGATGTGTCTGAATGTGAACGAACTCCTGATAAAAGTCAACGTCTGCCATTCTCCAATTCTCGTACTGCTCTCCCGACAAAAATGCTTGCAGCACACACACAGCTTTGCTGTATGATCAGCCCTGACAAGATCCCGGGGAAAAAAAACATGCAACAAACCCCGTGGATCATGGAAACAAACACATACGAGCCTTCATGAACGACTACTGCGTGCCGTGGGACCGTATCTCACAGCTTGCTTGAAACTGGCAGGTCTGCCTTCAGAAAGCACATGCTCTCATGAATAATTAAGCAGCCGGCTCTTCTCATAGGATAAGAAAACTCCGCTATGAATAATAATGAGAAACCGACGCGTCATCATTGCACTTGCAGTACTGCGCTATATTGCCAATTTCAATCCGCCCCAAAAATCATTTTAAACCCGGAAGCTGAAATTAGATGACAAAAGCTCAAAATTATCCAGTTTTCCCCACAATTAAAGCTGACAGGTGCTAACATCGTCTTAACTGATGCTCAACACACACACATCTGTTAATATTAAAAAAAGTTCTCCAGGGTGTCCTGAACCTTTAAATGTGCTTCTTGAGCTCTCAAGGTTTTGCGTATAAAACTATATTAATTAATTTCAATTAATTCTTGTTTGTTGACTCTCCATGGGAAACTTTCCTAATGCACCAAACCACGTCACATAAACCTGCAATTGTTTTATTTAAGTTATAGATTACTAGCGATTATATCTGTAACAAATATTAACATAAAGCTTCTCATTGCCTTTATTGCCATAACTGATGAGTTTCAGAAACAATAAGATAGAAGAGTAAAGGACCAAGAGCCCAACTAAAGCAGCCTCTGATCTCCATGATGGTGAGGTCAAACTGAAAATCAATAAGAAAATAAAAGAATAAGAAATAAAAGCGCTGTTCATTATCAAATGTTTTTCAGTGGAGCTGCTGATGCTGTTTGTGGAGGTGTTTAAATCAGTTGCTTTGGTGTGAGGCTGTTGCTGTATGTGTTTATTTCTCATTCTCTCCTTCTGTGATTGTGCTCTTTAACATCATTTCAGAACTGTTCCGAGACCTGGTGAATCTGCATTTGACTGACTGGGTCTAAAACACATCTGTCTTATATAGCCTAGTGGACCGTGCATGTGCATGCTGTTACTGTGCTTCAAATGGCTTTTGGGTTTGAATCCTGCTTTGTACAAATGCTCCAAAATCAGGATTTTCTCTATTTTAATAATGCTACTGTGTTATGGTGTAGTCTAGATAGGATACAGCTGCGGATACACCATCAATACAGCATCATTTGTGTAACACTGTATAGCAATAATTCATATTTTTACAGTACTGTGAGGGTTGGGTTTAGCGTTTAAGTAGACGGTATTAAAATACAATAAATGAGGAATTTCATTAATAGTATAAATAAGTCTTGTCAACTTCTGACCACAACTGTGTCTGATCTAGAAACAACCCTGTTTTATGACCAAAACAAGACATATTTACTCACAAATAGTCTTTATTCTGATGTCTGACCAATGTTGAAACAAAACAATACAAGAACAGAGCATTTCAACATAGCTGCATTTGCCTGGATTCGAACCCAGTTTCCCTGCATGATAGTCAGGAACTCTGACCGCTCTGCTATAACACTTGTAGGTTCAAAGGTACAAAGTGGGTTTTAATACCTCAATTTGCTCAATTGTTCTTTGCTGAAGCTGTTCCAGAGCAATGTATAAAAAATTACCCCTAGGTGTCACTGTAGAGTTTCGAAACGTTTCAAAGCTTTGACACATTTGCTTCAACTGTTTCAGTTTCATGAAGCGTCACTTTGCCCACCACTACTGTTAAATGAAGCGAGGAGAGCAAGCTGAAGCAGGATTTCTACATCTGAAACACACATAATACAGGTCAGTCAGAAGCAGAACAAAACAGTTTACATGCAAACTCTAATTCAACACACCTGAAGCAGCTAATCAAGACATTACTATGACAGCTGACCGGGAATAAACTCAACAGAAAACACCAGTGACAGACAGAAGATCTATTAGAGAAGACTGATAACATGAACAGGAATACTTCACTCAGGTCTGGTGAAAGCAAAGACTCCTTCATTAATGAAATCACTCAACACAAGATATCCAGATTAAAGCAAAGCAGAGGTGTGTTTCACCTGTAGGGTTTCCATGCTCAGCATCACACTCCACCGCAGGTACACTCTGCAGGATTACACTGACCTGCACCGCAATCACAGCCTCTCTGAAAGCACACAGTCAGATCAGAACTCTGCCTTGAAGAGTCCAGAGGAAAAGGAAATTCAGTCTCTGACCCACAACTCACAGTAGGGGGCGGTAATGCTCTGTTTAAGAATGCAAACCGCCAATAAGACAAGAAGAAGAGCTCTACCTGCTGTTTCACCCACCTGTGTGTTTCTCCTCCAGTGTTTGCTCAGCGGTTCACCTGTCCGTGTGTTCTCTCCTGCTCCTCTCGGCCGGTCAGCATCACCAGGTGAGCAGAAAGGGTTCCTCCACTATTGTAGATCTGCTTGATGGTATCTGAGACAGATTAAACACAGCGCTGTGGTGAATTCACCATCATTTCTCTAACACTCAGCCAACAAACAGGCCGAGAGTTACAGCTGATCACTCGCTTCACTGATCTGATCTGTAGATGAGCTGATGGAGAGGATGTGGGGATTTTATTCTTGTGCTTGTCTTCTTGCTCAGCTGTGATATTGCACTAGACAGATGCTGCTTCATCTTTAACATGTTCTCAGACAAATATAAGAGTTACAGTATAAACACAAGCCTCCACAAACCAATAACCTCATCAAAGACTAATCAACAAAACTCCACATCATTTGCACAGACAATCATTTACACAAGATCAACAGACACTGGTCTTACTGAGAGCTGGAAACAGCAGGGTTTCTGAAGGGTTTAAGATGAGGCGTTTTCAAACAACTTTCTTCTTCTGTTTACTGGTGTTTGGCAAACAGTGTAAAGGTGCAGATTCTGCCACCTACTGGACTGGAGGGTGGAGTGCAGCTTAGTTGAGGACTGGAGGGACGGGGAGGTCTAATCTGTTTCATCTCTTCTGCTCTTTCATATATGTAATCCTTGTCATTTTGCTTTTTGCTTTTCTGCAATGTAACAGTGAAAGGGTTTTCCCACCCCAATTTTTAGTGACTGAAACTGCTGGAATATTTGTTGTTGCACATTACACTAATATACGTGAGAGTGTTTCAGTCCACAATAACAGCTTTCATTTGTGTTTCCTCATTTTGTATGAAGTTCAGGATAAGTTTGAATGGACATTTTCTTTCCAACACACATTTATCTGCATTTCATATAGACGTCATGCCACTTTATAACCTATATGTTCTGCCAAATCTTCATCTTGTAGCTGATCAGTCCCTTTTTATCTGCTTTAGAGAATAAAGACCTATCAGACACATCCTAAAGCCACATCTGACTCCTTTAGCGTCTCTTTCACTAAATACTCTGCTGTCTCTTTCTGTTAACACAACATGCCATAAACTGACCTTCCCACATCTGTGTGATGTACATTAATGAAAATATTTCATGTAAAGGTCAGGAAATATTGGGGTTTAATTTGATATGCCTAACCCATTTATTTACTACTTTGCGCAGAATTAATTGAGTGTTTTAATATCGTCAACCAAAATAAATTCAATGACTGTTTTTACTGCTTCTACTCTGAAACATCACCGGCTCTTTATGATTATTTTGATGATGTGTTGCTTTAATTAGTATTAGTCATTCCCAATAAATTAATTGTGTGTGTGTGTGTGTGTGTGTGTGTGTGTGTGTGTGTGTGTGTGTGTGTGTGTGTGTGTGTGTGTGTGTGTGTGTGTGTGTGTGTGTGTGTGTGTGTGTGTGTGTGTGTGTGTGTGTGTGTGTGTGTGTGTGTGTGTGTGTGTGTGTGTGTGCGCGCGTGTGTACATCAGTACCTCCTTAAATATGACTTATCTTTTTTTATTTGTTTTAGCACTCTTCATCATTTTATTTTCAGTATGCTTCTGAAACTCTGACTCTTTGCCTGATTCCTTGCTTGATATCTTTGGTATCGACTGCAAGTGTAAAGACTCTAATGATCTGCATCAGCTTCATTAGCAGCATTTTCCTCATTGACTGATCTGGTTGTCTCTACATTTCTCTCAGTCCTGAAACTCTGGTTCTGATTTCTATGCTGAAGTGGTAAAGTGTGATGTGATGGTCATTGCTGTGGATCTTTCTCTGCTGATGAGTCTGACACTACTGTAAATGAAGAGCTGAAGCAGAAATGAGGTTTATAGTGGCTAATCACTGTGATCTTCCCTCTGTTCAGTTTCAGTTTCAGTTTTCGTCTCTGTTGTGGGGGTTGAACTGGATTCTCTGATGCTGGTTTCAGAATGAAGGATGTTGTCAAATCTTAGACAACACCACACACACTTTATAATGTCCTGATAAACACAGGAGTGTGTTTAATCAAGCACTGATATTAGCTAGGTGTAGAGTGCAATAGAAATCCTTCTTTAAATAATGAATTCATGGTGTAATATTGTTTATTTTTATTTGATGTATTCTTAATGGAGCTGCAGTAATACACTTGATTTCCCTCTGGGTTTAATAAAGTGTTTGTGTGGTTTACAGGCTGATGTGGACGCGATCAGCTAAAACCTGCATATTTTAAGGATTAAAGTGTCTGTTAAAACAGATCTCTACTAGTCCACACTATTGTACATCCCTCCACACTGACAGTTTCTCTTTTGGCAGAATAATGTGGTACACCCAAATTTGTGCAACCACATTTGGTGGTATAAATATATATATATTCTATGAATAGATAATACTGTTTATTCATTTAAATTAAGACTAGCATCTTTTTTTGATTCAGCAAACTGTTATTTGTCATTTAGTGCAATGTCCTGCAATAGAAAAAAAGAGTGATAATGAATGAGACGGCATAGGGGGACCGGAACCTTTAATGCGGTTATTTGTTCCCGGGTGAGTATACTGACGGAGCCCCTGGTTTCCGGTTAGATGTAATCTGGGCTGTTTCTCAATATGCTTTCTTGTCTGTACTTGCGTTCTTGTGTCCTCGTGAAACGTCATCAACCGTCGCCAAAGTACTGTTCAAATTCAAAAGTCACATCTTTCCAAGTACACATAAAATTCCCGGATGTGTACTTGCTCTGGCCTTTGGCCTAGGATGACTTGTGAGAGAGATGACTCGAGAGGTGACTTGTGCGAACTTGCGAAGCTCAGGTATCCCAGAATGCATTGCAGCGTAACCAGCAAGCACTAATGGTGGAGGAGAAAACCCGCACAGTTTTAAAAATACTCCTTAACTGTGTCACAAAATAAAGTTTTAAGAGTTTTTCAGGCGAGAATGTAGTTGTTTTAAACTCGAATAGGCAGTTTATTCACAAAGATAGCGCTTCTTTAATGATGTGGCTCAGCTTATGCGCACTCCGACTCCCAACCTGCCAGTGGGAGCTCCGTCATCAGCTCCCCGCCAGAGCAGATTTACTTCGGCCAGGCCATCTCGGACGTACCGCTGGATCTCATCTCTCCATTGTAGTTAAAACATGATATTTAATATATCTTCTGAATATCTAACAGACAGTTTTTGGTCTTATAAATCTAGTATTTGTTCTCAGGTGTATTATTTGGCAGTGGTTTTTTGTTACCTTTTATAATTGTCTTTAATCATGTTACTGTGTTGTACGCTGTTTGTCTTTGTTTACCAAATTGCTTGACGTAATCTTTTTTTTCTTAGAAACAGCCCTGGAGAAAGAAGCGCATGGTCCTGTCTTGCTTTCGTCTCAGTGTTTTCATTCATTTTACAGGTCAGTACTGTGTTTAAACTGTCAAAGGTTAAAGTTTTAGACATTGTGTAATGAATATACTTGTTGGAAACTGTACTGTGCAGATTCTGGTAACTTTTGCATGAGTTAAAGATGAAACACTTTAAGTAATGGTGTAAGGTCGGGCCGCGAGTAATCTCGCAATGACTCGCGCTATTATCGCGAGAGTTCGTTGGTGCGCTGTCATTCAGTCCGTCTGTAGTGTAAATTAAATTTAAACACTTTATCTTTTGCTTGAAAGCAACACAGATCGCTCCAGTTGATGCTTAATCTCCCAATATGTGCTTACATGTTCAGTGAGCTGTTTTAAAGCAGAGTGAATTCATCATAGTGTGTTAAGGAAGAATATGAGAGTTTTATATATAAATGTAAACTATTCTGTTTACAGTTTTGACAATATTATTACTACTAATAGCTTTATTTCATCAGTGTTATTTCATAAGGTCTGTTAAAGTTACTGTACACTTTCAAATGCAATGTCCCAGTTTAAGGAAGCTAATTTCTAGCACATGCAGAGTATTTTTAAGTGTTAAATAATACTTGTGAATAATTTACATGTGTGATAGCACTATGCCTCAGGGAAATTAATGCACTGTTATTTGTAACTAGTAGGATATCTACTCTGATTTAAGTGAACGTGCAGCAGGAAGAATTTATATATCTGATTGGTGAAGCTAATTCATGTAAATGCACTTTATTTGTGTTCAATATACAGTAAATATGCTAGACAGAGAATGCATTTATTGTAAAAGATGTATTTGAGATTAAATGATTTAATAGACATAATCTGGAGAAAGAAGCGCATGGTCCTGTCTTGCTTTCATCTCAGTGTTTTCATTCATTTTACAGATCACAATTCTTTTTGTTATAGCGGCCACCGCGCCTGGGGCCCGTAACATTAACACTGATTTGGAATTAATATTTCTATGTTGTGTGTTATTGATCTAATCCAATGTTTAAAGACCTTTAATCAACATGTCTGAAGCGGCTGTCAACATTGGCTGGACCCGACTGCATCAGAAGAGCACATTATACAGTGACGGCGGCGGCAGAAGGTACGTCTGACCATCAGTTTGAGCGTTTCTTTATGTCTTTAGTTTTTGAATAACCAGATAAACTCAGCAGCTATGATCATGTGTGTAGTTATGAACATACCCTGTGTGCGTCCCCAGACCTGCCCTCAGCAGTAATCTCCATCTGTGTACTGAAGTGAACACTAATGAACGTGACCTCACTGATGCTGTGTGTTACTCACCTGACAGCTCTTTCTCAATGCTAAACTGCATCAGTCCTGTTGCTGAATAACCCATACAGTTACAGAATCTGTCTCTGTCAGCAAATGTACTTTATTTGTCTGAGGAGAAGTGATGATGAGTGTGTCTTTTCCTCCAGGTCTTTCCGCATCCATGTGGGAGATTTACCATCAGTCTGAAGATCCACACCTGAGAAACTTGAAGATGCAGAACACAGAAGTCCAGTATGGTGGAGCGATAAACGATATCAACATGATCTACAACACAGGGAGCCAATGTGACACACACACACACACACACATACACACCATTACAATAATATGGCATATTATACTTACTTAACTGTTCATTCATGTTCTTTCTCTGTGTGTGTCTTTTTACAGGTACATGCATTCAAAATAGCGTCAGTGAATGCACATCACACACATGCAGGTAAACTAGACAAGTTAACCAGAACTTAACACCTGGAACAGACCCAGGAGATAAAGGCCCCGTTTACACTAGTGCATTTAGTTTTAAAACGGCGTTTTAGAATGAAAGCGATCCGCATCCACACTAGTGTCTCAATAGCAGTTTCTGAACCGCTCTCCGTCTACACCAAAACGCTGAAAACACACATCACGTGACCACACACACACACACACACACACACACACACACATACACACTCTCGAGCAAGCACTGCAGCCAGGGGCGTAAATCCCAGGGGGCTTGTATCCGTGGCTTGTATAACCCCCCCACTCAAAATTACTCATCTAGTTAACGTTAGCTTGTTGCTAACGCTAAAGCCGTTTCCTATGCATTGTTTCATTTGTGACGACTTGGCATTATGTTAACTTAATATTAACGACCACAATTAGCATATTGTTTAGCTGTGTATTTGCTAAATGAGCACTGCTACACTGTGCACACTAACCCCACTGTATTTTTGTATAATCGGTTTCTATTCTGTTTTAAGTGCCTCAATCAATTTGAAATTAAAATGTTAATCTTTTTTTAATCCTTTGTTTTTATTATTGTGATCAATTTTATGATAGTTTTGCATACTTTATGTAAAGCACTGTGAGTTACCATTGTGTATAAAATGTGCTACAGTATAAATACACTTGCATTGCAGGGTCATGTACAAAATACAAAAAAATACAAATACAAAAAAAAAGTGACAGAGAAAACAGACATAAGATCATTTTTCAGTGCAGCTAAATGCCAAATACAAAAAGTTGACATATTGAGCAATTTGGCTTTCAGAATGAGTGCTTATGAAAATACTAATGTCACATAGTCAATCACAGGCAAAGGAGAAAGAACTGATTGAGGATCAGGCAGAGCAGGGTCAGCCAGGTGTACAGTGTCAGGTAAGGGTGTTGGGCTTTATTGAAGGGATAATGACAATTCTTTTAGGATGAATAATTTTTTTATGTCTTCTGAGTTGTGGCTGTTTAGCAGATGAAGCTCACAGGCTCACTGATTTACAATATGATCTGTCATTTTAACAAGTGTAATGTAAACAAGTTAGTTATAATGAGTATGGAAAATGTCTTTTCCTGCATTTATTCTGCTTCAGGAGTCAGTCAGTTGGCTGTAAACACAACAGACAATGCAATAAATAGTTTTGAAGAAAAATTTGCTGTCATTGAACCTGAGAAAAACTTAAAATAATCATAATGCAGTAGTCTCCATGCTATAATAATAATGATGAAACTATTTTAAACTGCGGGGACATTTCTTTATTAGTACAATTCGGCTGTATTATTTGTGTCCCCTTCAAAAAAATTGCTGGAAAGAAATTTTATATTTATTGTCCCCCCCCTACTGTTAAATCAGATTTACACCCATGACTCTACTGAACGATATCTCAGTATCTCAAACATCAGACAGCCACTATAGGCTGTTCAGAGCTGACCCCAGACCTGTAAAAGGATCCACAATAAAACACAAACACACACACACACACACACACATATATAATTCTTTTGAGAATAAAGTCTTCATGTCTGCAAACAGCTTGTAATGTCACTCAAACCTCATTAAGTGTGTGCTCATGAATATGCAGATTAGTCCCCGCCTCCACTGGATAACTGCAGTAAACTGTAATGAATGTCACGCGAGAGCAGGTTTCAGTCTGGGATTGTAGTTTGATCGGGTCAATCACTGCAGTTTCAGGAGTGTTCATGGAGGATTCTCTGGAGAGCAGCTGAGAGTTTTCCTCTGATTTATGCAGATTATATTCTCATTCTCCAGCAGAAACAGGAGAGCGCAGGGATTCTCACACAGTTAAATAAGTTTCTGCTGCTGATTTTTAATCTGAAAGCACACACACACACACACACACACACACACACACACACACACACACACACACACACACACACACAGGGAAGTGTGAGGGACAGCTGATTGAGATCAAAAGTTTACATTTCTGCCTCTGAAAGTGAGGGGGATGTATCCCTCCGCCTATCCTGTCCCCATGGATGCTGCTACATCCCTGCACACACACACACACACACAAGTCTGTCTGTAATGCCTCTTACACTCTCAGATTAACTGAAAAGACACAGTCAGTCTTCAGCAGTGGCTTGTACAGGACCGTTGGCTGTATGTTCAGTATTCACCGGCAGATAAACACACAATATCCGCTGATCACAGCATGTCTCTCCTCGGGGTTTGGAGGTAAGAGGAAGGCCGGTGGCCGTGAGCTGTGTTCAGTATTGGAGTGTTCTGCGGGCTGCTGATGCAGTTGAAGTCGGCTTGGAGACGCAGGAGGAGTCGTGTTGTTAAAGTTGTCGTCTGAACTATTCCGACTCAGTGCCGATGCTGACGATCAATAGATAATGAGGATCATACATGACTATAATAGGGGTTTAGTCTTACTGATGCAGAATAATATGATTGGTTTGTGGATGATCCTCACAAGCTCCTCCTGAAATAAGTGTAGAAAACCTCACTTAAACAAAATATTAAAGCCCTGATGAGAACAGATTCACAAAACAGTTGATGTTGGATTACAGTCTGTGTTTGACAGATTAAACTTACAATAAAAGACCCACAAGGTTTGCAGAAGTGCTCGCTAATGCGTTCTGTCCTGAGTCTGTGCCGGCTCCAGACTGTTCATCACTTCAGTCTATCAAGCGTTTGCTGGATCAGCTGATTCTGAGCTTTGAAGAGCGTCTACTGTTCTCCAACACTAATAGAAGACATCCACTCCTGACCTGCAGCTCCTCCAGCTCACACTGACCATCAGCTGCTCCAGCCGGTGTGCTTTACTGATGGACACTGACACACACGCAAAACACTGACAATCACACACACCAAAACACATAAATAATTATGCTACAGCTGCTTACACACATTCAAAATCTTCAATTAAAAATAAATAACCCCCTCCACCCTCCACGCTTGGTCTCTTCCAAATCCCATGATACACCACGGCTCGGGTATAAAAGCTCGCTCCAGCCTGGTGATGGTGAGATGAAGCTGTCTGAGTCGGTCAACTGTTCAGCTCAGTTGTGTCAGGAAATGGTTCATTACTCGAAGCTTTCCAAATCAGAGCTGGATGAGGACCCCTGCTGGTGAAAGTACGGTGCTGCAAAAATGTCAAACGTTCAACTGACCCACTCACATCTTTAGTAATACAACAACATTAATATAAAGTAATTACTCAGTTACTGTAGTTTATAATCAGTAGACTTTAGTGTGCTTTAAAAGCTTTTTACTGTAATTTACCATGGTATGTTAGCTGAATTACTGGTGTGTGGAAGCAGAGTAGAGCTTTTAAACGGATGTAATCGTCACCTCATCCTTCACTATACACTTTACTAACCCACTGCGAGATTCATCATTTCTTTGATACATGCAGCAAAGCCTCGACACACAACATCACACCACCATTTGACTGAAGTGACTGAACTGAAACACTCTGAACATTTCAACATTTCCAGGGTTAAGAATACATGTCAGTATACAATACCCCGAACCCATATGTGTCTTCATCCTCACTGCTTCTCCAGTCTGAGGATATTTCAGATTAGGGTTACACACACACACACACACATAAGCACGCACCCGTCATCTCTGTGAGTTGGTTTCAGATCTGCATGTTCATGTTGAAGCAGCAGGAGATGGATCTCGCTTTGTATCAGTGTGGACTTATCAACAGTACTGATGGACAGATGTAGTAGATAACTCATGTAGATTTGTTTATAACATGCCAATCCGCTTGTTAAGTGTGACGTCACGCGAAGCGGCTTCCGGGTCCAAGCGCTCTATTCAACTGAATGGGGAGACTCATGAAATGGTAATAATAAACATTTACAAAGCGATTTAATACTTTAAAAAATCACGATCGCAATATATATGTCCGTGCCTAATATCCGATGGCCAGAAAGTCATTCATTTTTTATAAATTGTTAATTTTTGGTATTTGTTATGCAGCAAGCCCAGAGATTGTTGTGTACACTATGATTTTATATAAAATTAACTTTAATGTGTGATAGGAATAAAACGTGATTATAAACGAATGATTTCTCCACTCGAATGAATGGCGGTTTGGACCCGGAAACAGTATTCCATACGTCACCACTTAACAAGCGGATACGCGACAAACCCATCCAGCGCGTTTCCTCACAAATGCACTCGGCGCATTTCCTCAAGCAGGACAGCAGATGGCGCTGTGGGTCAATTCATGTCTTTCTCCTGGGGAAAGCCTGAAAGCAGCTCTACCTGCAGCTGAACACAATGTGAACAGAAGACTTCACTGAATATGGCTCGCATTTTAAAGGTTTTCACACCATGAACTCTGCTATAAATAAAAAATAAAAGTATGTTTGACATGAATGTAAAAGGGCAGTGTGAGGCTGCTAAAGACACATGCTTTGATAATATCACTTCCCTCTTTTCTTCTGTCGGTGTAGATTTAATCACTAAAACACCATTACCCATTTACTCGTTTTCTTTTCAGCATAGTCCCTTTATTTATTAGAGGTCACAACAGTGGAATGAACCGCCAACTATTGTAGCATATGCTTTACACAGCAGATGCCCTTCCAGCTGCAACCCATCACTGGAAAACGCACACTCATACACACACACACAAACACACACACACACAAACAAAGGTCAGTTGATCAGTTTCCCCTATAGCGCATGTGTTTGGACTGTGGGGGAAACCGGAGCACCCGGAGGAAACCCACACCAACACGGGGAGAACATGCAAACTCCACACAGAAACACCAACTGACTCAGCTGTGGCCTTTATGCTGAGGCCACAGTGCAAACCACTGTATCACCATGACGCCATCATCACCCAGAATATTCAAAATATGATGACATGACACATGATTAAAAAAATATTAAGACTTTAAAAATCCCACATGCATGCGAGAAAATCTGCCTGGACTGCATTTATTTATGAAATGTGATTTATATTTGTAACACACAACGCGCTTTACAAAAAGTGCACATTATTACTACAATACAGTCAAAATCATAAGAGTCAAGGAGATGTGCATTAGACAGAGTATAACATACAGCCTGCAGTTAAACAGTATGCAGTGTCCTGCCATAAAGGAGATGTGTAGAAGACATGTTCAGTCAAGAGTGTGTGTGTGTGTGTGTTGTCCTCGTCACAGGTGATGGATCTGATCAATATATATGTGTGTGTGTGTGTGTGTGTGTGTGTGTGTGTGTAAACGCAATACAAACGTACTGGAGAATGTAGAGCACAACAGATCAGATCCATCACCTGTGACGAGGACAACACACACACTTCAGCAATTCACACACACACTTGACTGAACATGTATGATACACATCACCTTAATGGAAGGACATTTAAGAATATATAAACTGACTGCAATAACACGTCACTGGCGTGAGCAGGACATTACTCCATTATTAGCTGAGCTGTTTTCTGTGCTCTTTATTTCAGACATGACTATAAACTATATAATGAAGATGAACACATGAATACAGCAGGATTCATCCCTCAGCTGAGCTCCTGTTACTGAAGATTGATGGATCGAGCCCGTAACACACGATTAGAACAACACAAGATGCAGAAATCTCCAGAACTGACAGTAAAGCGAACAGGACAGGAAAGACTACAGACTTTACCAAAGTACAAACACAACATCCTTACACACTCCCCAACGGGCCGATTCTGGATCTTTATAAACAGCAGCAGCTTAAAGAGAATCAGCAGTGAACATCATCAAAACTACAGCAAAGATCTATCGCTAGACGAGCTGAGACACGGCTGCATAAACACTTTCATTTCCATCTGGTTAATGGTCACAACATTAGCATTAGTGAAGACTACTCTCTATTTCCAGTGTTTTTGGCATACAGGTACAGCAGAAATCCTCAGTCTGTGCTCTGAGATTGTGGAGAGCCGGTGTTCGATGTTCATGGTGGTACAGTACTGCAGTCTGCCTCCGGGCAGCACAACAACAGGAGGCGGAGCTTAATCCATTTAGATGCAGAGTTCACCCGGACATCTCATTGGCTGTTGGTGAAGTGGGCGGAGCCTTTGGCTTGTCACCTTTAGACGTGGACCTGGAAAAGCAAAACCAGTAAATGAGAAGACGAAGCAGCTCAATCAACTGCAGAAGGTGGAAACAGTCAAACCCTGAGCCGAACGCATCCGAGCTTATATTAGCATTAGCACACTCTGACTGATAATCAGGGCTGACAATGCTTTGCCCATATTTAAACTGGTTTCCAGTCTGATTCACCTATAAATGGCGAGCACTGCTGCTCACAGGCCTGGAGGCTGGACGACTGATCGACTCTATTCTATATAAACAGCAGTGAGGCATTAATAATCAAGTGTCAAGTGCTAAACACAACACCCCAGCACGATCAGTGGTGTAATCTCTCTGACTGTCTGGTAAATCCTGTTCCTCCTCAGTCTCGATCTGTCAACAGGACCTGCAGCTTTGAACAAGATCCACAATCTTTAATGACTGCAAGGGTTACTATATTCACTTTATTCTACTGGTGAATGTCAATACTGTCGAACTCATTCCTTATAAAACTCATCTCCACAAGCTAAATCAGCAGGTCTCTCGGGATCTAGAGACGGCTGATAACATGGCAGTGATGAGGGCTCTGCTAGAGTGTGTTCAGTGAGAATGGACAGGTGCCCGTGCTGGTGTTGCTCTGGTCAGGCCACATCTGTATGATATTGTAATAAACGCACCGGCTGCTGATCCGGCTGGAGGCGTCTGCTCGGCTGTGTCTGTCGGTGTCGGAGGAGGCAGCGGTGTGGTCGAGGCTGGCTGCGGGAGGGGGGGCACAGCTGGCAGGAGTGCCCGTACTGGTGCCCATGGACTTGGACAGCACCTTCAGCCGGAGCGAGGAGCGGCTCTGCTGCGGGCGGCTGTTGTGCTTCAGGAAGAACTCGCAGGACTCCTGCAGGACCCGCCGGCTCTCGCTGACCGCACTGAAACACAACTATAATCACTCTACACAATCCTGCGGTGTGTGTGTGTGTGTGTGTGTGTGTGTGAAGGGAAACTCACTCACTCTTTCTTGTGCGCCCGCCTGCAGAAGGATGCCCACCGGCTGCAGGTCTTTCTGCTGCTGACCCAGAACACCGCCGGGATGCCCACCGCCAGCGTCATCAGGTACTTCAGGAGGAAGAGTGAGAGTCCGGGATGCTGCACGCCACCCTGCACACACACACACACACACGCACGCACACACACGCACACACGCACCCACCCACCCACCCACACACACACACGCACGCACGCACGCACGCACGCACGCACGCACACACACACACACACACACACACACACACACACACACACACACACACACGTCAGACTGGTGCAAGTGCCACTGACCTGAGGACAGTTAACACACTCACGCTGCTGGT